GCACTTCAAAGAGATGAAATGTATAATGGCTTCACGGCTTGACCGCAGACGCGGCATTGGGCCTGAGTACCGGGAGGCATTGGCCCAAGCGCAGCCTCCCTGCATTCCCTTCCTGAGTACTCCCTTCCCCCCCCCCGACAGACGCCTCTTGGGGCCTGGTGATAGTGGCCTGATGACGACGCTGGTGCGTGGTGCGTGTGTGGTGTTCGTGTGTATACTAGGACGTCTCCTGACAGACCTGGATAATGGTGGCCAAGTCATGGGCGTGCAGGCCAGGGTGAGCTTTGCTGCGTGGCGTTGGCGCAGACCACACCTGGCCTTCGTGTTGTACGTTCTCCTCTCTCGTTAAGCGCTCTTCTTCCATCGCGCGGCCCAGCTCCCACACAGCTGGGTGTTGGAAGCTTATGATCAGCCAATGTCGTGTGCAACAACACAGACGCATCAAGACCGGGTCGCCCCCTGCGGCCAATGAAGAGAGCCAACGGCTCGTTTCCCGGCTGCTGGCACTCGGGGGACCCCGGCGAAGAGGTGGGCAAGGGACAGGGCAACGCAAACAGGTTACGAGCGACATCTTGGCTTTCTTACACGAACTCGAACTAGAACGACAAGGCCTGATTTGAGCACTTGTTCATTGCCATCAACTGCTGCTCTGTTTGGGCCATAACAACAATATCACCTTTATTCACTGGTTTCTTCTGCCTCCTCTTCCACCTGACCACACCCCATATGTGACCACCACACATGCCACCCACCCATAACTGCTTCTTTCTCTCACCACAGTGCCACCATACCATGCCTGCATAATGGTATCATACCATGCCCATCATCAGAATATCAGTACAGAGTATCAGCACAATTTTTCCAGTGCAGTGCCCCCCCAAATATGAAAGTTGCACTTGTATTCTGTCTTATGTTAGAGGTTCCCCTTCCCAAAGTGCAGGAGCACTGCAGTGAGTGAAACCTGTGTTAATTTTCTACCAGGTATTCCAGTGACTGCTTTTCATAATGCAAAAAAACAGAAATCTGTACACCAAACTGGAAAGCTGTTTGGGTGAAAAGGGTACAGAAAACAACTGCATTGGTGAGTATTGAGGGTTTGGTGTACAGAATGACAACCTTGATGTTGAAGATCAAGGATGCTTGTTCTTGGAACCAGGTGTTCATAACCAAGTGTTCATGAAAAAGGGTCAGTGACCCTTTTTGCTTAGCAGAATAAGAAGTGGAGGATGTTATTGAAGAAGGAATGACAAAGGCAGAATCCCTTTTTACAGATTTCCCATCCAGATCAGATTGCAATTTTGCCGAAATATGTGCATTTTTAAGGTCTTTTATTGCATTTTCTACACATTTTCCGTTCACATTTCTCAGATTTTGTGCATTGAACTGGTCGAAGTGTACTGATGCACTATCTGGCAGCATGTACAGATTGTCAAGGCTGTAACACCAGTATCTGCACACCCTCCAGAAACAGACTAAAGGTGCAGGCATATCTGTACACAGAGAACAAATAAAGGTGATAGGCCAGCAGAGTGTGAAAACAGCAAGAAATGGCCTCTGTTTGTTGACCATGTTTTTAGAAATATGTGCAAAAAAAGGTCAAACAACCTACAAAATTTAAGTTTGTCTGTACAAAAATCCCATATGGGATTGCTAAAATGTACAGTAATCAGAAAAAATTAGGGGTAACAACAGAAAATACGAAAAATGTGAGCATGCAAATCTGGTGCACTCTTTTTGGAAACAACTTTCTTTCATCAAACAACCAGCTGTTATTTTGCACATAGCTCAATTCTGTACATGCTGGCACTGGTCAGCTGCACAGAAAAGTTGACCAAAATGACCTATTGGCAGCTTATGGTGTAATATACCTCATTTTAATGAAAAAGGAAAAAGGTACACTGACCCTTTTTCATGAACACCTGGTTTTGGCCATGAGTGCAAGGACTACAGAAATGGCTTGAGTGTCATCCTGATGATCTGGATGACAACAAAACTGGTAGTAGCAGTGGATTGCATTGCCCCTTGCCCCCTGTGACAAAGGGGAGCAAGCCATCCAACCCTACCTCAAACAGGGACAGCAACAGCACCAACAGTGATTTCAGCACCAGCTTTTTCAATGCTCTGGACCCCAGGAGGAGCAGTTCAAAGCCTACTTGGTTAGGCTGCTGGTGTGGCTGGTGGCAGTCTAACCAAGTTCCCCTCTAGTGAGGGATGTGGCTTCACAAAAGAGGATGCCATCAGCATCAAGCAGCTCACCAAGTGCTACAAGGCACTCAAAGTCAACATTGGCCTCTGTATCACCAGTGCCAAGCACCACCCCACTGCCATGGACACCCTCAACACCATCATCACCACTGCCTTGTGGATGCATCAGTGCAACATTGACTTCAAGGGATTCATGGGAGAGAACTTCAAGATGTGGAGATCTCTCAACACCAGCATCTATGATGCAGAGTGTCAGCTCACCATCAAGTCCATGCAGCTCACCACCACAGTCACCATGACAAAGAAGAACACCACCCCAGTGCAGGCCAAGAATTGTTCCACAATGACCTTCAACACTGTTGGGTCCCACCACAGCGCATGCACCAAGGCACATACACAAGCATGCTGCTTCTTGTGTACACTCAGGCTATTCAACAGCAGCAAGAGCAGACACAAGCTGCCTGTCCCTTCATCAACATATGGCGCATCCAATGAACAAGTGCTCAAATCAGGCCTTGTCGTTCTAGTTCGAGTTCGTGTAAGAAAGCCAAGATGTCGCTCGTAACCTGTTTGCGTTGCCCTGTCCCTTGCCCACCTCTTCGCCGGGGTCCCCCGAGTGCCAGCAGCCGGGAAACGAGCCGTTGGCTCTCTTCATTGGCCGCAGGGGGCGACCCGGTCTTGATGCGTCTGTGTTGTTGCACACGACATTGGCTGATCATAAGCTTCCAACACCCAGCTGTGTGGGAGCTGGGCCGCGCGATGGAAGAAGAGCGCTTAACGAGAGAGGAGAACGTACAACACGAAGGCCAGGTGTGGTCTGCGCCAACGCCACGCAGCAAAGCGCACCCTGGCCTGCACGCCCATGACTTGGCCACCATTATCCAGGTCTGTCAGGAGACGTCCTAGTATACACACGAACACCACGCACGCACCACATACAACGTTGAAGATCACCACCAGCGTCGTCATCAGGCCACTGTCACCAGGCCCCAAGAGGAGTCTGTAGGGGGGGGGGAGTACTCAGGAAGGGAATGCAGGGAGGCCGCGCTTGGGCCAATGCCTCCCGGTACTCAGGCGCAACGCCGCGTCTGCGGTGAAGCGGTGAAGCCATCATACATTTCATCTCTTTGAAGTGCGCGAACGTATGCTGCGCCGACTGCGTCGTGGTGACCCACCACCACCCACAACAGTGAATAGAAAGTCAGCAGTCATGAGATCGGCTGAGTTCTCCCTCCGGGGGGGGGAGGGGCGTGGAGGCTGAGCGTACCTCCCAATCAGGCTGGGCCTTTTCCAAATGGGTGGACTGAAGCGCATCCATGACGTCTAGCATGAACTCAAAATTGTTGAGCAGCCGCAGCTTCTGTTGTGTGCGTGTGCGTGTGCGTGTGCGTGTGCGTGTGCGTGTGCGTGTGCGTGTGCGTGTGCGTGTGCGTGTGCGCGTGTGAGTGTGGCACCACAAGGAAAGCCGATCAGTTTCGCTGTTTGGTGTTTGGGTGGGTGAGAGCCAAGTGGAGACCAAGTACCCAAGCCACCTTGACCCACTTCTTGAACACCCGCGCCTTGAGCTTGGCCCTGGCCAGCGATGCGAGGGTCACCGTGACCGCTTGCCTCAACTACAGCACGAGAGGTTGAGTACGACACACACGCCACACGCCACACGCCACACGCCACACGCCACACGCCACACGCCACACGCCACACGCCTGCTGCACCTGAGAGGATTCTTCGCCTAATTGCTTGATGGCCGGTACTTCGGCCTCGACACAGCTCGACCTTCCTGTACAGAGTTCGGTCAGCGCCTCACAGCACACGTAACAGAGCTCGTCAGGTACGTGCCCACGAGGTCGAGCAGTGGGATCGGGCCGAAGATCGCCCAGTGGCGCGCCGTCAGAGCCACGGCAATGTCGTGCGGGTGAGCCGCGAGGAAGTCGCGCACCAGCACTGACCTATTGCCGTCCTCATCCACTTCATCCGCTTCATTCTTATTGCGTTTGCCGACACTCGCTGCCCTTTTCTCCGCGGCTCGTTGGTTTCTCTTCTCCGTCGTAATCGTCTGTCTGGCGTTCGGCTTCCTGGCGCTGTTGGTCATCGCCACGCGCGTCGTTTTCGTTGCTGGTCCGTTCTTCTTCGCTCTCGTTTTCGTTTTCTTGGCTTGCGCGCAAACGACGTCCAGCAGCAGTGTGAGGTCATCGGGCTGGAGGCCGGCCTCGGCGCGCAGGTGCTGCTCGAGGGCTTCCAAGGGCTCGGCGAGGCCCAGCAGGGCCGGACACAGGTTGACCCACTTGGCCAGCACGCCGACCACCCTGCTCCGCGGCAGCGTGCGCCGCCACAGCAACCAGTAGTCGGCGCACTGTGGACCCCACCTGCTGGGCAAGGCCACTCGGCTGCGCCGACCATTCGCCTGGAATGTCAGCAATGCACACCACCCAACACGACACACGAGCACAGTAATAATAACAGCAATCGCGAGAGGCGGGCGTGCACCTCAACGCAAGAAGGAACTGGTCGTGCGAGAAGGTGGTGGCGTAGTTGTACAGCCACACGTCCACCTCGGCCCACCGCATCCACGCTTTCGCGTTCTCTGGTGGTGGGAATGGAATGTGTTGATCAGGCGCTGAGCCGACCATATGTGCAGTGTGAGTAATAGTAGAGGGAGGGGGAGTATGGGTATACGGATGGTGGGCTCGCTGAAGAAGAAGCGGAGAAGGCCCTCCAGCGAGCATGCGCCCTGGACGGCGCCGCTGTCGTCGATCTGGACCTCGTCGCCGTCGGGCGTGTGTGGTGGTTGAGTTGTTGTTTCATCGAAGTCGACGTCACCAACACCGGCATCGCTGGTTGGTGGTGGTGGTAGACAGCGCACACGACGTTCGAGCGCGGCCACGTAGTCTGCTCTGCTCTCGCACAGCTCTGCGCCTCTACCAGCGCAAACGTGGGTTGTGAGCGGCAGAAAAAGAAGCAAAAGAAGATGATGATGATGATGAAAACAGAAGAAGAAAGCAGGGCAAGGATAGGGGAAGAAGAGGGCAGGTTGTGGGGGGGGGGCATTGGTACGGTACTTCGAGTGACGACGCGTGAGGTGGCGCCACAACGATGGCCCCGAGACGATGTTATGGAAACGCGTGCATGAGGCGCCGACGGCACACAAGTCGCGCCCCGTGTCGAGCCAACCGAACAGGCCCTCCCACACCTCGTCCGGCAGCGCCCCCGTCAGATCCATTGCTAGCAAGCGTGATAAAAACTGCTTACACTATTTTGCTATCTGAGATTATTCGCAACCAATAGGGTGTTTCACTTAAACATGAACCGGAAAAATGTGCAACATATATGAGAAAGGTAATGTGCTGCCCTTTCAATTACAAAAAGGTTGGCGCGCTGGGCCGGTGCTGGTGCAAAGC